TCGCTTCCACTCGCCCGTCCCCTCGTACCGCCCGCCAGGAATCACGATCTTGCCCGCGCCGCCCTTCCCCGCCGTTGCCGCTGCGCTCGCCGCCACGGACGTCCCCCGCACCTTCGGGAGCCCCAACGCCTTGCGCTGTCTCCTCGTCATTGGCTTCGCCGTCACAGTAACGGGTATAGGCTCGGGCGGCGGGCTGGGACTCATGCTCGATAGGCTGGAGAGGCTGGAAGAGGATGAGAGTGCTGGCGGTGAGAGGGAGAGGGAGAGCGAGGTGCCGCTGGTGCCGCTGCTTCTGCTCGTGCGTTCTTCTGCACCGGCGTCCGCGTCCGCGTTCGCTGCGTCTTCTTCTGCATCTTCGTCGTCGTTGTCCTCTTCCTCTTCCTCCCCTTCGTCGTCGTCGTCCTCCGACCCAGACCCCGACCCCGACCCCATCTCGACGTCGCAGTCCCCATCCACGTCCACCTCTGCATCTTCTCCCTCTCCCTCCGCACCCCCACTCGCGCCCTCGCCCTCACCCTCCCGTTCGACCCTTCCCCCGTAAACATACGCACTCCTCGTCCGCTTCGCCACACTCTCACTCTCGCTCCCCGCACTCCCCGCACTGCTCTCATCAAAGCTCCGCTTGGGACTCCTCTGCACCCTCCCCGCACTCGCATCCGCCGCCGACCTTCCCCCGGCCCCAAGCCTCGACCTCAACCGCGCGCCTACCGAGCTCCCACTCGCGCTATCGCCCAGCCGCGCCGACGCCGCCCCCGCCCCCGACCCCGACCCCGACGCCGCCCCAGAGGACGGCAACACCGACGGCACCACTTTGGTCGGCGACGCGCTCGACAGCTTGAGCCGCACCTTCGGCAGCACCGTCCGCTTCTTCTCCGCGTCCCCTTCCTTCGCCCCTCCCCCTCCCTCCTTCCCGTTCCCCTCCTTCCCGTTCCCCTCCTTCGCATTATTCTCGTCCCCCTCCGCCCGCGCAGCCCGCTTCTCCGCCCTCCTCCGCTCCTTCGCCTCCTTCGCCTCCTTCTCCGCGCGCTTCCGCTCCACCTCCATCCGCTTCCGCTCCTTCGCATCGGCTTTACTCTGTTTGGGGTCCGCGTACGAGGAAGTGGAGGGGGAGGGCGGGTAGGGGTAGGGCGGCGTCTCGCGGACGACGGGGAGGCCCGTGTGCGGGCCTTTGAGGTTGCGGATGGAGGAGAAGTGCTCCCAGTCGTGGTATCTGTAAAATGGAAATGAATAACGTCAGTAAAGTGGCGAGGCGAGGGACGGGATGCGAGGAAAGGGAAGGAGAAGGAGAGTGGGCAAGACGACGACGAGAGGAGTCGTCCGTGGGCCACAGAGAAGAGAAGAAGGAAAGGGAAAGGGCGCAGAAAGAACGTAGAATGAAAGCGAATGAATGGTGAAAAAAAATCGAGTGAATAAGGAAGAGGTCGAGACGGAAATAGTGTAGGCAGGATAAGAGAATGAGAAAGGAGAACGAGCGCAAGAAGGAGGATGTGGAGAGAGTGCGAATGAGGGGGGGAAGAGACTCGGCAACGGGGCGCGAGCGAATGACGGTGGTATGAGGGGAGGGGTGTCTTGTGTATCGAGTGAGGGAGAGGTAAGGTGTGTGCGAAGAGGGAAGAAGGACGCAGGGCTTCTGTGGTATCGCACAAACACGAAGTAAGTGGGAAGGCCTGCGATGGGGCAGATTACGGGTGGGGTACAGGGAGCGAGGGCGGGGGAGAAGGACGGGGAGGAGTGAAGGACGCGACGGGAGGTGGATGAAGAAGGAAACGATGGGTGGCAGGCAAGATGTAGGAAGGATGACAGTAATGGGGAAGAAGTAGCGTAGAAGAGAAATAAAGAAAAAGAAGTATCCGCCCGCCCCCGATAAGGGGACTGCGCCGTCCACAGCGTCTGCGAGCGCCGAATAGCACGCTCACGGACGTGCGCAAGGCGCGTAGTATACGCAGCAGGAGCCCTTGATTTGCGCGCACCAAGCGGCCGCAAAGGACGCGGACAAAAGAAAGAGCACGCGCGTGCGGCGACGGCGGACAAAGAGGAAAGGTCCACGTCACTGCTCGACGCCGCCGCCAATATCCCCACCCTCGTCCCATGCGCCACGTGTCTGTAACGACACCCCGCCTCCTCATCACTTCTTTTGAGAGACGCATAGTGACGACGTCCTGCCTCGCAGCCTACGACACGGCTGCGCAGACGGCGCGCGGTCACGCTCGCTCGCGCGCGATCGCGATCGGGTCCGTGTCCCGGACGCGTGGGTACGACATACATGACACGAGGGGTCGCGGTCGCGAACAAAGACCCAAAAAAAGAAAGGAGGAAGAAGAAAGGGGCGGGTGTAAGAAGGAAGAAGAAGGGAAGGAAGGAAGGAAGGGAAAAGAGGAGCGACATCGCGATGGATCAAGGGAAGAAGAATAAAATAATAAAGAGGCGAAAGGAAGTTCCTATACGCCCCATGCACCCCAGGTAAGGACGAAAGAATGAAAGAATGAAAGAAAAAGAGAAAGAGAGAGCGCCGATGACGACGGCGAGAGAAAAGAAAGCATAAAGAACGCTCCCGACGTCAAAAGAATAAAAAAAGAATAAAGGACGGGGCTGCCCCATACCACAAGGTGGACAAAGCACAAAGAACGCCCGCGTCGTTAAAAGAGCAAGAGGCGCGGGCGGCACTTCGCTCGTCTCGTCGTCTCTCCTCCACCAGCGCACACCCCCTAACAGAAAAACGCAGAAGAAAAAAGCGGAAACAAAGGAAGTAGGAAGGTGCAGAGGAAAGGGACACCTACGCAACGTAAATCGTGCCCTCTTCAGCGGGCTCCAGATCCATTGCGTCTTTCTGCTGCTCGCCAGCGTCCGCGTCGACGTCGATGACCTCGATGTCGGCGCGGTGTCTTGAGGACGAAGAGGACGCTGGAGGGGGGACCGAGGTGGACGAATGGGCGTGTGCCGACGCAGACGCAGAGGCCGAGACGGAGGGCGCGAGGGAGGAGAGGGAGGAGAGGCTGGAGGTGGAGGCGGAGTGGAGGTGGGCGTGGGAGGAGGTGCCGAGGGAGGCGAGCGTGGAGGGGTTTAGGGCGGTCACTGCGGAAGTAGGAGTAGGAGGGGGATTTGCGGAGGTCGAGGAGGAGGAAGCGTGTGCGATGGAGTTGGACATGGGCACGGTGGGCGATGGCGGGCCCCCGCCGGCGGCCCATTCGATGACGTAGACGAGGCCGGGCTGGATGACCTTGACGTTGCGGCGCGTAAGGTGCGCGAAGGCGCTGAGTTCCATGTGCCCGCCATATGTCGCTGCAAGGTGGGTCATTAGCTCTCGTTTTGGAGGCGTGAGGTCGAGTGGCACAGAAAATGCGCAGAAATTCGCGCCGAGATCCCACACCCAAGCACGACAAGAGGGAAGGCCAAGAAGGTAAAACGGAAACGCGACCCACCATTCTCGCGCATGCACCTTATATGCACCTCCAGCCCCCTCTCGTCCTCCACAAACGGCTCATAGCGCGTCTTGTGCCGGGCGATCCAGTCGCACACATCGCGCCTTAGCTGCGGGTGTTTCGAGGGCGAGCCATAGAGTTGGTCACTGAGCGCGCGGAAGAGACAGTTTCCGTCGCCGACGGTGGGCGCAGCGTACAGACCCAACGAGCGTAGCTGCTCCGTCAGCAGCGCCGTGTTTTCCATCGGGTCCGTGAGCAGCTGTACCAGCGCAAATGGTGTCAGCGGCGTGCCAGTATGGGTATGGGCGCGTTTGGTGCACTCACCCGCGCCTTACTCGACCGCGTCGTCCGGGGCCGCACTTTACCCAGGGTGAGCAAAATCGCAATTAAAAAAGCACAGCAAGGACGGGGACATACGCTGACTCTGCATCTTCTTCGCGTTCTTCTTGGGAGTGCCCATAATTAATCCTGTTCAGCGGCAAAAGTCTAATCTCTAGGGGGAAGCGGGGATGGTGGTGGTCAGGAAGATCGGAGTTTGAATCGGAGATTGGGTGCTGTGCCGTGCCGGGCGCCGGGCCGGGTTCGTTCCTGTTTACAGTCTGCTGCGTGGCTGCGGCGAGGCGAGCCAAAGTAAGAGAAGCTGGGCGCGAGGCAGTACTGAACAGGTCGTATGCGGCCGCGGACGCGTTTTGCAAGGTGTATACTTGGACGACGCGCTAGAAAAAGCTGTAAAAGGGCCGGATGGGGAGATGTGGAGTTGGACAGATGATCAGATGAGCGCGAACACGGAACAATTTGGTGAACGTTGATTTCGCTTCCATGGCGACTCATTTATGCATTGTTCGCCCTTTTTTGCTTCCAAAATAAAGAGCTGAAAAGGTTTTTTCTTTCGCTAAAAAAAATTACAAGTGATTCAGACAAGTATAAGGACTCGAGCCGGAGTCGAACCGGCAACATCTGCATTAATGTTTCAACCACGACAGTACATCGAGTGGCAGACGCGGACCACTCCGCTTTCGAGTCTTTTCCTACTGTAAACCTGGTTCAAATTACCCGACAACAAACTCAGCCCTTCTCCGCTGCTCATTCAAACATCACATCAACTATTCCCAGTCCCAAGTTCCTCTGCAGCTTCACCTTGACTCATGGTGAGGTGGGCTAACATGAATTCGACAAACACCAAGCACAAGGATCAACAAGGAAAAAGTTGTCAAATAAATCAACGATTTGACTAGAACCGGACTCAAACCGGTTACCTGCTTGGAATGATCTGCCCACAAGCACAGAGCACAGGTGTGGACCATCCGCCACGAGTCTTTCCATCCTGCACTTCATGGCTCGATATCCCAGTGAAATTTAGGACTTACCTTCGAATTCGTAACGCAACCAGTAAGTGGTGAGGTTGTTTTACTACGAGGAGTCTAGGCCCTCACCTTCGCACTAATATAGTGAACATTGATTTTGCTTCCATGGCAACTCATTTATACATTGCTCGTTTGCCTTCCGCCGATGTAAACGAAAACTGCAGGTGCATTTCTGTTTGGACAGAAAAAATAACAGCAGGCCATATCTCTCGGAGAAAGACTCGAGCCGGAGTCGAACCGGCGAGATCTGTATTCAGCATTCGACCACGACAGTACATCAAGTGGCAGACGCGGACCACTCCGCTTTCGAGTCTTTTCCTACTGTAAACCCGGTTCAAATTACCCGACAACAAACTCAGTCCTTCTCTGCTGCTCATTCAAACGTCACATCGACTACTCCCATTTCATTCCTCTGCAGCGTCAACTTGGCTCATTCTGAGGTGAGCTAACATGAATTCGACAAACACCAAGCACAAGGATCAACAAGTAAAAAGTTGTCCAATAAGTAGACGATGCCAGTGTATGACTCAAACCGGACTCGAACCGGTTACCTGCTTGGAATGTATCTGCCCACGACCACAGAGCACAGGTGCGGACCATCCGCCACGAGTCTTTCCATCCTCCATTTCATGGCTCAGTATCCCAGTGAATTTAGGACAAGTTACTTTTGGCTCACCGCTGGCTAAGCAATCTGGTTCGAAAATCATGAACCCCCTACAGTCGTTAACCAGGAAGCGCAACAACACCACGTAGCGCAACATCGCCAGACAAACAGCTTACAAGTACGGCTGGACCGTCCTCGGACCGTATGCCCCTGTTTTCGAGGTCGCTAAGCACGATAGGACACATCCCGAGGGTCGAAACATTTACGACGACCCAGAAATATGAGTTTTATTGAGTAAATACCTATGGCGGTCACTTTGTACATTTATTATTTGGGTCTTTTTTTTTCATGGATTCCGGGTTTTTTTTCGCGTTTTTCACGGTTTTGACCTTTTTTTCATGGTTTCGAACTTTATTTTCGCACTTTTAAACTTTTTTTCTCAACTTGAGATTTTCAAAGTTTTTTTTTCCTGCCCTTCACAGGAACTGACAAGTTTTTTCAAGTGTTCCTTGTGATATAATGTTTTTCCAAGTTCTTACTCAACAAGACATTTCTTTATGGCGGTCACATTGCACATTTCTTATTTTGGACTTTTTTTCCACTTTTCTGTACTTTTTTGGGGGTTTCCATACTTTTTTTTTGGTGTTTTTTTTCTTTTCTTTTTGCCATTTGGTTTCAAGCAGATTGCTATTGTTTCCTGTCACCAGAATCACAACTTTCTGAGAAAACCATCGCTGGGAGGATGAATTGAACCATGACCCTATAGTGGGGTTAATCATTACTTGATGGCCATAGTTGATCAAGTACTTCGGCGGTCAGTTGTAACCCCCTGCTGAGCCACAGCAAGCATATCACTGGTGCGGGTGTCATAGTGTGTGGTATAATACACTTTATGGCTTCCTTCTGCAGGTGGTTCGGAACTGAACCTCAAAGTTGAGGTGCCCCACTGATCAAGGCCATCAAGCCGGCCGTTCGGCTTGCACAGCCACTGGCTCCAATATACGGTGAAATCTGGAAGAAACTCTCAGTCAGGCTCCCAGAAAAAGAATGTTAGCCTGGAACAAAAAAAAGAACGGGACACCAAAAGAAAAAGACAAAAAAAAGACCAGAAAGTGAAAAAAAAGGACCGGAATAATCAATGTGCATTGTGACATAGACATATTCAAAACTAAAGTAAGATAGATGAGGGAAAGAAATGTCTCGTTGAGTAAGAACTTGGAAAAACATTATATTACAAGGAACGCTCGAAAAAACCTGTCAGTTCCTGTGAAGGCAGGAAAAAAAAATTCAAATTCTCAAGTTGAGAAAAAAAGGTGGAAACTGTGAAAATAAAGTTTGAAACCGGTAAAAAAAAAGGTTGAAGCCATGAAAAAACCCGGAAAACGTGAAAAAAAGACCCAAATAATAAATGTACAAAGTGACCGCCATAAATACCGGGAAAATGGTCAAATTTCAAGGTTTTTCAAGTCCTTTGACACCATCTGGTGGTGCTACTGGGCTGCAAAACTCCCAAGGATCTAGTAGGGCATCGTACCACATGGCATAAAAAATATCTAGCTCAACAACCCAAGGATAGCTCCATAACGAGCCATGTAAAATTGACCATCTGACAAGCACTAATTGCGGTGATGGCGCCCGAGTGCTAGAAGCCAGAAATATACAGCTCTGAGTGCGTAAAGATGTTTTTGGGGCTGGTGATAATGCTCATGAATTTTCTTGGCTGAAAGTATGGACTCCATTCGCCTCAACTATTGACCATAACTTGTTGCGCTTCCACGTTATTTGTCCAAATTTGGCCTCCCGGAAAGATCGACGCCGTATGGGCCCGTGAAGTGCTCAAACCCCAAGAAGTAAACTGGAGGTTGGAATTCATAACCTTATGAGTCACCTAGCTCTTTGGCGCGCATAATTTGGTCCAGGATGGACAAGATATAGGCGGCGCAAACTAAATGTTGCGCTTCCCGGTTAGCGACTGTATCTTTCAGCAATCCAAGTGCCGTGCGGGGTGCTGAAACACTGTGTTCCGGGGTCACCTGTGCATAGCTGCACATAAGCTACACATAGCTGCACACAATATGTGCAGCTATTTGTCCCCGTTCTGACGACGCCGCGATGCCGGACCAACCAAACACGCCAAACATCACACCAAACAAACCAGACCAAAACCAGACACGGCTTTCGTCAGGCCGGCTCGCCAGGCCGGAGCGGCGATAGGCTTGCTCCAAACCCACTACATGGACCTACACAGCCTCTTTTTAGCTCTGTTAGCCGTCTGTAGGGCGCTGTTTATTAGTCTAGTTTATGAACAGTGGTTTTATATTCCTCCTGCAGAATGGCCAGTTTTTAATTCCCATCACTGGCATCAATTCACCGAAATTCCGCTCTCAGGACCAATCTCAAGAGGCTTTAGGTGAGCTCTGGGAGGCTAAAATAAACATAGAAACGTCTCCGCACCAAGGGGCTCCCACTAACCGAAATATATACCCCGACTCGATTTTTTCTTTTCAGACGAAATAGGCAAAATCCGCCAATATTCTATTCATACTGGGTAATTTATTTCAAGTTGTCTGCATCAGCACAACTCGCCTTTTTTTCAAAGCTTCTTCGTAATCCTTCCATGGCCGCCTTTGACAGAAATGAATGGATCTTGCACGAGAAGAGTTGGAACCGCAAATCAAAAATTTTGGTTGTTGGAACGAACACAAGTAGCGAGAGCGGGAAAAAAATTGGATTTTTTGCACTATACTGAGGCAAAACGGCCGCTAGTTCAATCCCCCCAGTGACCTATGACCTCTGTTAAATAGCTTCAATTCACCTCGGGCTGTGACCTGGGACTTGAATCTATGGTTAAAAGAGAAATGGGGATTCTTTTCTTGAAACTGCGTCACGGTACAATAGAAATGGGCTCCAGAATCTACTCGGTAGACCATACATTGTGATCAGAGGAGGCGTAAATCTGAACAAAGACGTGTTGACAGTGTGTTTTACGCAGGTGATCCTGCCCCTGATAGGAGCATGCGTCGGTTGTGAAGCCCCTGTTCTTTAAATCTAGTATTTAACACTTGAATTTTGAAAGTATTCAGATTGCGATACATGTGCATTGTACGCTAAATCACGCGCTCGGGAAAGCGATAGATACTTGAGCGTCCTGCGACCCTTCGACATCCACTTTGACCTGAACATCCGTGGTAGGATCGACGCTAGTGTTCCAGTATAACGCAGCGGGAGGGCCTGTGGTCAAGTTGAGATTGATCTGCTCAAAGACGAAGGACCCCGCGGGATAGTCGCTAGCCCCCGAAACACCCTCCTCCTCCAGTTCGAGAGCTACGATCTGTGGGGGCACACTCCAGCCAGCCTCAAGGGTTGGGGAACCGGGAAGGTTGTCGAAGCCAGCAATATACGCAAATATGCCGGGTATCTCCTCATCCAACAAGTGATCGGCAACTATGAAGCTGTTGATGCGCTGCCCCACATCGACGGTGATATTAGCCCCGGTAACCTGAAGGTATCCGCCGCCGGGAATCTCGAGTTGGATCGCGTATGTCCAGAACGGACCGGTGCCCGGAATGAAACTGCCTCCGTACTAAATGTGTGTTCAGTTGGATTTGTACAGGTCAGAATCTCACACATACCTGGAGAGCAGGACGAAGATCGCCGAACAGAGCACCGTTCACATCCAGAACTCGAATATTGGCGCTTAGGAAGATGATTTGACTGTCGAAGGACGTTGGGACAGGGGGGACCACAAAGGTGGCGTTGAAGGACTCGATCATGTTATCCGCCGTTGTGTTGAACTGGGCGTAGGCCTCCGTCGCGCTCACCGCCTGCCGCCGAGCAAAAGTCTGTTGGCGTTTGGTTTTGACATTGCCGGGGATAACATCCTGGCGATGGGTTTGTGAGTAACTGCATTGTCAAAAGAGTTTTTTGTCCAGAAGGCTACCTCGAAGGTATGGATCAAGGTTCCATCAGGAGCGAAGACATCCATGTTTCTCCCTGATTGCTTCACGCGTGAGCCACTTGGGCTGAGGAAGTAGGGCAGACCAGAAGGAGAGTATCCAACTGGCACCAGCGCGAGGGTGGTTTGAACCAGGAGTGCAGCAGTGAGGGGGCGAAGGAAGAACATTGTGGAGAACTTCGAAGGTTGGAGAACATGGCGCTAGAGCTTTAAACCGAAAGATCTACGGTCTAGTTTAACCGTCAACGTTGACACTTACATCATGGTTTATACAGTTCGGAATTCTTTACTCGTTGCGGAGCGGGCCTGCATTATGGGCGGTGCCGTTGTGGTATAATCCATGAAAAACAATACATTGCATCAGCGCCCAGGCTCCTGGGGCACGGAGAATTACGGAATTAACACACAAAATGGAGAAATAACTCACGATACTCACATACAACACACCGCCGATTAGTTCACCAGTCCCAAACGATTTTATTGAGGCTGACCCTATCAAGATCCCGCCCGGAATCGAACTAAGTTTATTTCACGGGATTCTTTCGTGGCACTGCCTTTGCAAAACGGGCTGAGGTATACCACCTGCTGCTGGCTTTCACTGCTGGGATCAAGTCCGCGAGGAAACATGTCAATGGGAGCGGAGGACGGCAGCGCCAAAGGGGTGTACTCACACCGAATGACCGCCCTCACCAAATCGATCTGTCCGTTGCGTGGTAAATACTGGGTCGCAGAAGTAGGCATGACACTGTGTGCC